TTTAGCATATAAAAAAATTAAAAAAATTCTGAAAATTAAAAATCATAATATTTGTACGCGAATCTGTAAAATGCAAAAATTAAAAAAAAAATTACCTTGTGCATTGGTTTTAAAAAATCCAATATTCAAAAAGAAAAACAAAATCCACAACTGAACAAAATTCTTCCTTGGAGCCATTTGGATTCAACTATCAAAACCCAAATTCCATAAAACCGTAAAATCCGACATATAGGCCAAAAAATATAACACAAAAACTGCACTTTACTGGTAGGTAACTTTTCAAGTTGATAAAATTAAATCCGCAACAAAAGTCGAAAAGTGAACACACATTTCATTTGCCAGTCTAATTGTAAATAAACTCTACAAGTTTATTACTAAATCACTTTCGTGAAACAGTTTGGAAATATAGCTCGAGGCAGTGAGGTTTAAAATTCGTCAAAGGCCGTTAACAATACAAAGTATAAATTGTTCGTGTAGGTATCGAGACTGCCAAAGACCAGAAAACCACTTTTAAAGGGATACTACCTCTTAGAATGACCATAAAATTTAAAATCTCAAACTTGGTCAATAAGAGTATATATTCATCAGTTAGACTTACCAGGTGTCAAACACGATATATCCATTAAACTAAGTATTTTTTGAATAACGCTTCTAAGCGCGTTTCAAAATTAGGTAATTTAATGAATTATTACTTAGTTTTATGAATTATTACTTAGTTTAATAGATTTATTAGATTATAGAGAGATTCTGTTGTATAGTTTTATTAGATTATAGAGAGATTCTGTTGTATAGTTATATTAGATTATAGAGAGATTCTGTTGTATAGTTATATTAGATTATAGAGAGATTCTGTTGTATAGTTTTATTAGATTATAGAGAGATTCTGTTGTATAGTTTTATTAGATTATAGAGAGATTCTGTTGTATAGTTTTATTAGATTATAGAGAGATTCTGTTGTATAGTTTTATTAGATTATAGAGAGATTCTGTTGTATAGATTTATTAGATTATAGAGAGATTCTGTTGTATAGTTTTATTAGATTATAGAGAGATTCTGTTGTATAGATTTATTAGATTATAGAGAGATTCTGTTGTATAGTTATATTAGATTATAGAGAGATTCTGTTGTATAGTTTTATTAGATTATAGAGAGACTCTGTTGTATAGTTTTATTAGATTATAGAGAGATTCTGTTGTATAGTTTTATTAGATTATAGAGAGATTCTGTTGTATAGTTTTATTAGATTATTCTGTTGTATAGATTTATTAGATTATAGAGAGATTCTGTTGTATAGTTTTGACACCAGGTAAGTCCAACTGATAAACAAAGACTCATTTTGGTCAAGTTAAAAATTTTAAATTTTTTGGTCATTCTAAGAGGTAGTATACCTTTAAAACAGACGACATACCGTCAGGTGATCAAAGGTCGTACTTTCCAACTCCCGAGAGATATTTCAGTATTTTTAGCCTCTTTTCTTGGTTGAATGTAAAGTACACATCGGTCCCTAGTACGACGTTTTCTAACCGACGTCTTAAGATCATTAGCACAAGGATTAACTTGCGTCTTTGAACGTTGTCGTTGCGGCGTCCGTTAAGTATCTGTTTGTAAGTATTTTTAATTAGGACAGGTTCAAAAGTCACTCTTGTATCTATGAACTACCGGTGACATTTTGAAACTACGTTTAATATCGTTTACTATGAACTGCTACGAAACGTAAAACGCGTGTAAACACGTTAAATCCCTCTCATAAACTGTAATGTGGACGACCATGCAGTGTGCAATGAGGGAAATTTTGCCAGGACAACACTCTTGTATCTATAAACTACTCGCCGGTGACATTTTGAAGCTATGTACTGGTACGAAGCGTAAAACGTACATAAACACGTTAAATCCCTCTCATAAACTGTAATGTGGACGACCATGCAGTGTGCAACGAGGGAAATTTTGCCAGGACGGCACTCTTGTATCTATGAACTATCGGTGTATCGGTGACATTTTGCAGCTATGTTTAATATCGTTTACTATGGACTGGTACGAAACGTAAAACGCATGTAAACACGCTAAATCCCTCCCATTGCTTTAATGTGGACGGCCATGCAGTGTGCAATGAGGGAAATTTTGCGTGAACAGCAGCACTAGCCTACTTTAAGTCCCCCTCCCGACTAAAACATGAAATGTGGACGACCATGCAGTGTACAACAAGGGAAATTTTGCCAGGACAGCGTCGGTAACCTACTTTTTTAGATTTCAAACTGTTTTTAGCGTGCACAGCCTGTATCACACAGGGCTTCGGTTTATTGTCCCACCAAAACGACAAAACTCTTTCTCATCACTGACAGGCCAGGAACAGCCATGCAGTGTGAAATGAGGGAAATTTTAGCAGGACAACGGCGGTAGGCTTCTCTTTTTCGATTTTCACTGTCTTTAGCTCAAAACGGGGTTGGAGGGCGAAAGGGGTATAAGGTCATACAGTAAATGAAACACGTGCATTTAAAAAATTGACCTACCTTTTGATGCTCATCACCAAATTCTTCACTCTTAAATATCCGAATTGTTGCACATAGTTCAAAATTCAGTTAAAACTTCTCAAATCTATAATCCAACACGTTCATTATTCCCAGATATACGTCTTACATTTGAAGGACAAGTAAGAGACAGAAAGCCATAAAATACACGTGCATCCTGGCTGGTATAAAAATAGTAACACTGTCTGTATAAAGCCCGATTTACATTGGACGATTTTTCGCAAAAATGGCCAAATTCGGGAGTTGTTGAACGCTAATTAAATGGGAATTAGAAATTTTTGACCTGTAACTTTGCTTCTATCTTTAATTCTCTGTCATTTGGGGTTTTTTAGGGGTTCTAAACTCGTTCACAAGCCGTGGATGCTAGAAGTCGCTCGATGGTTGTATTGGATATCCCCAAAATCAAAATGAATGCAAGGGAGTTTTACATCCTTCTGCTGATTAAGCGAATTAGAACGAGCAACGCCCTGCAGTGTCTGATTGAAAATTAGAATGATGTAAATTGATACTATCAGTCTCTGATACACATAAAAAATTCAGAAAACCTCTTTACAATCTCTTTAACAAGAACCACAGACATCTGATTGAAAATTAGAATGGTGTAAATTGATACTATCAGTGTCCCTGATACACATAGAAAATATAGAAAACCTTTTTACAATCTCTTTAATGAAATTTCGTGAATTTACTTAGATTTGAAAATTCGTCCATTTAACTGTGGTCTGAATCCTCATAAAAAATCAAAATCGCGGTTATCTCCCATGAATGATCTACAATGGTCTTTTTGTGAAAATAATAGCGCCATTTTCGCTATACATGTGAAAATTTATTGTAAAAAAAGACGAAGGGCATGTAGAAGAGACTTGGCAGACGTCAAACGGATCGGGCATTAAACGAATACGGTAAGCTTGTTTATTTTGCCATCGTCCATAATTTTACCATTAAAAAATATACGTTTGAGGTCGAATCATGTGGTTTTGTTGTTCTGGGTGCGTCTTAGAATACAAATTTTGTGTAAGGTGCGACTTCTCACCAAGAAACACACAATGTGTTTTATTCAAACCTAAACCATTTTCACCTTTATACCTTGACTACAATAGCCACCTTTCTTGTATCACATCTTTACAATGTCAAGCTATTACAAACTGTGTCTTATACCTTGACTACAATAGCCACCTTTCTTGTATCACATCTTTACAATGTCAAGCTATTACAAACTGTGTCTTATACCTTGACTACAATAGTCACCTTTCTTGTATCTTCACAATGTCAAGCTATTACTAGCTTCATACTTATACCTTGACTGCAATAGTCACCTTTCTTGTATCTTCACAATGTCAAGCTATTACAAACTGTGTCTTATACCTTGACTGCAATAGCCACCTTTCTTGTATCTTCACAATGTCAAGCTATTACGAACTACGTACTTACACCTTGACTACAATAGCCACTTTTCTTGTATAAGAAAGGTGGCTGTTATAGTCAAGGTATAAGGATGAAGTTTGTAATAGCTTGACATTGTGAGGATGTGATACAAGAAAAGTGACTATTGCAGTCAAGGTATAAGTATGACATTGTGAAGATGACCAATTACCTACCAGTACACCAATTTTCGATTTTATCTTTAAGTGTTATATTTTCAGGGTCACAGGCGGTATGATTCTATGGAAACCTGCCATCACTACGTTAAGCAGAAGACCAAATTTACCAAAATTGTCAAGATTTCAACGATCGTTCAGTTTTTTTTCTGAGATATGGAAGAACCCCCAAGCATTTTTTAATTTCGATTCTTGTATTCGAAATCAAAATGTAAACCAACGTCTGTACTCGATTTTTGATGATGGAGGGATTCCGCAAGATTCAATACAATCAGAATCTGAAGCAGACGTAGAAACCGAAAGCATCGCCGATGTACCACGGAAACTAAGAAGAGGCAAAGTGAAGGTATTATCAGCGATTATATATTTTTCTTGGTGGCAGATCAGCTTGTAGCTTAGACTCACTTTTGCATGGAATAATTTGAGAGTTTTACGTCCTACTTTTCTACACCTAATTAAGCTAATGAAGACGGGCAAGGCCATGCAGTGTGCAATGAGGGAAATTTTGCCATGACAGCGGCATTAGCCTATTCACTTATGCTTAATAATTTGACATGGAGTTTTACGGCCTTCTTTTCTGCATTGGGACAATGAAGATGGGCAACACCATGCAGTGTGCAACGAGGGAAATTTTGCCATGACAGCGGCATTAGCCTATTCACTTATGCTTAATAATTTGACATGGAGTTTTACGGCCTTCTTTTCTGCATTGGGACAATGAAGACGGGCAACACCATGCAGTGTGCAGTGAGGCAAATTTTACCAGGACAGCAGCATTAGCCTGCTCTTTTTTGATCTCCAACTGTCGTGGGTGTGAACTCCACCCTATTTTTGAGCAGATCTCTTTATTTGTAACCTCTGCCAGTGCTTTAGGAGTATGTACAAACTTTTTCACATTTATTTTTTTTTACTTTTTCAGTTAGATTCTGGGGCCAATATAGACGAGAAAGCAGTAAGTCATAAAAAATTAGAACAGTTCGATACCTCCAAAACGGTGAACTCGGCCGCCATCGAACAATTCCTGACCGAAAAAAATATCAAGTTTCTAGAAGGAAATTGCTGTTATCAGGTCTACTGTCCAAAACTGAAAATTCACAAAAAACCAGTCAAGACGACGTCCTCAGACTTATTTATCAATAAAATTACTGGCCATTTTGTTTGTTTTAAATGCGGCAAAACTGGTGATTGGTCTCATCTTGTGGACAATATTCTCATCTTTCACCAGATGAAAAAAAAAGTGAACAAGGAATGTTTCAGTGAAATCGATGCGGTGAAAAAATGGAATCAGGTGGATTCGCACGTAGAAACCATTTGGGCCCAAGCCGAACATTTAGAAAAGCTAACAGCAGACGTCAAACAAAATATTCTAGAAGATTTCGAATTAGATCAACTGACATTCGAAACTTTGAAAAGTTTTGAAGTACGTTTTATCATTTCCAAAAATTCCTTAGTTTTCCCGTTTTTTAATTTAGAAGGTAACGTCACTTCGATAAAAATTTTGAGATGTAGAAAAGGACTGGATGAAAATGACGAAATGAAAACAACGTTAAAAGAATCGATAATTCCAAGTCACCAACCGTTGGGATTGTTTGGCTGGAATTTGGTGAACGACATAAAAGAGATAGTACTAACTTCTACGGAAAAAGACGCCATGGCGATCAAGCAAGCTACGAATCAAGTGGCGCTAACACTTCCAAAGGGACCTTCGATACTTCCTCAAGAGGTTCTACCATCTTTTGAAAGATTTTCAAAAATTGTCGTTTGGTTCAGTGATGATATAAACAGTTGGGAAGCGGCAAAATTATTTTCGCGAAAACTAAACCATAAACGATGTTTCATTATTCGGCCAAGTTTAAAAAGTCCAGTGCCGTACCAAGCTCTCGTCGAGGAATTAAGTTTGCGATCTATTTTAAAAGATAGCAAACGTATTCATAAAGAATCTATTAAAAACTTTTCTGACCTACGTTCGGAAGTTTACGCAGAATTTACACAAATTGAGCGTGTGACTGGTGTAAAATGGCAGAGGTATAAAACTCTAAATACCATTCTAAAAGGTCATCGTCGTGGTGAACTGACTGTGGTTACTGGGGCAACGGGTTCGGGAAAAACGACCTTTATAAGTGATTACTCCTTAGATTTAGCGATGCAGGGCGTCAACACTCTTTGGGGCAGTTTTGAAATTAACAATATCCGTCTGCTGAAAATGATGATTACGCAATTCTCTCAAAGAAATTTTTCGAAAAATCTACAGGACTTTGATGTTTGGGCAGACAAGTTCGAAGAACTACCTCTCTATTTTATGACTTTTCACGGACAGCAGAAAATTCCTGAAGTTTTGGACACCATGGCGCATGCGGTGTACGTTCACGATATTTCTCACGTCATCGTTGATAATCTTCAATTTATGGTCGGAATGAGCAGCGACAATCCAGGAGACAGATTTCTACAACACGATAAAGTCGTGGCTGGTTTCCGAAGATTCGCTACGCAAAGAAACTGTCATGTGACGTTAGTGATTCATCCGCGGAAGGAAAAAGAAGGGGAGCCGTTAACGACTGCTTCAATTTTCGGTAGCGCCAAACCAACGCAAGAAGCGGACAATATTATGCTGTTGCAGGACAAACGCGTAATGACCGTCACGGGGAAAAAATATGTTCAAATTACTAAAAATAGATATGACGGAGATCTGGGCGTGATTCCGTTAAATTATGATAAAGGTTCAATGAGTTATGTTGTCAAGGAAGTTAAATTACCCAGTGATCAAAGTGTAGACTCGGATATAGAAAACTAGTTTTTTTTTTTTTTTTTTTTTTTTACTGTGGAATATTAAAGAATGAAATCTAAAAGAAATTAGAGTTTTATTTTGGTATTTGATGTGGGCTAATGAAGACAGGCAACACCATGCAGTGTGCAATGAGGGAAATTTTGCCATTTGCATTTACTCTTTATCGATTTCCAACTGTCGAGGGATCTTTAACCCTTATTCAACCTATGCCATGCAGTGTGCAATGAGGGAAATTTTGCCAGGATAGCAGCATTAGCCTACTCTTTGATTTGCAGCTGTTTAGGGGTCTTTAACATGTACAGCCTGTAGTACACAGGGCCTCGGTTTATTGTCTCATCAGAACGACAATAAAGTAGAGGTACAAAAAGTGGGGGGTGCTAACCATTAGCCTACACTTTGATTTCCAACTGTCAAGGGATCTTAAACACGCACAGTCTGTAGCACACAGGGACTTGGGTTTATTGTCTCATTTTAACCAGTCAAGTCTGATTGGAACTCCAAAATGACTGACTGCAATTTTAATCTTTATGCAAATGTGCTATATAGATTGCATGTTTCATGCATTCTTGATGAATATTATTAAATTCTTAATTTACATGTTAAAATATCCGGTATGGAATTTCTAAAATCAAAAACCCTGCTACAGTTCAAAAGATTTTAACTTCACACGCATGTACATAACCATAAATAGAGTTATTGCCCTTGATATACATCTTTAGTAAATAAATCAAAAAACCCATTTTATTCCTCCATTAGGAGTAAACTGGTTTGCCATTCCATCTAGACTTCGCACCCAGCTATTGTCATCTTAACATTGATTGGACGAAGATATTTTTGAAGGAACTATTTGATTTTTGTACATTTCTAGTATTTCTGAAGACTATTTACATATATTCAAGAATTATCCACGTTTGAAAGTTAAAATGACAACTCGTCAATTTAAGATAATCTGTGATATATAGAAATAGTGAGTAAAATTCCTAGTTTGAGATATTTTTGAAGGAATTATGTGATTTTCGTACATTTCTAGTATTTCTGAAGACTATTTACATATAATTAAGACCCAAATCAACCCTTCCCAAAAATGGCCAACCTTTCCCTCAAAAGATGTCAACTGATTTCTGAGCTGTTTTTTCTTTCATTTCTGTCAAAGCTCTGGCAGGATGCACATAAACACAAAAACTCACTCCCTGAAAAAGAAAAAAAATAAAAGGGATTGTAAAGAGGTTTTCTAAATTTTTTATGTGTATCAGGGACACTGATAGCATCAATTTACACCATTCTAATTTTCAATCAGACGTTTTCAATTAAAAGCTGGATTAGAGACAGATGTTTGAGTCTACATCCTGTCTTACAGTGCCATGTCCTGATTTTATAATGATTGATTGATAATGAGATCTAGTTATTCGTATCAATAATTTATATATTATATTACACACTGTTAGAGAGGAGTGGAAACTTAATGAGATACTATAAAACAAGAAATCAATGTCACCACGAAATTTATGAGCCAAACAAATTTGGTATCTCAATTAATGGTTTTCTAGCTTTTTGCATATGTATCAGGGACACTGATAGCATCAATTTACATCATTCTAATTTTCAATCAGATGTCTGTGGTTCTTGTTAAAGAGATTGTAAAGAGGTTTTCTAAATTTTTTATGTGTATCAGGGACACTGATAGCATCAATTTACACCATTCTAATTTTCAATCAGACGTTTTCAATTAAAAGCTGGATTAGAGACAGATGTTTGAGTCTACACCCTGTCCTACTGTGCCATGTCCTGATTTTATAATGATTGATTGATAATGAGATCTAGTTATTCGTATCAATAATTTATATATTATATTACACACTGTTAGAGAGGAGTGGAAACTTAATGAGATACTATAAAACAAGAAATCAATGTCACCACGAAATTTATGAGCCAAACAAATTTGGTATCTCAATTAATGGTTTTCTAGCTTTTTGCATATGTATCAGGGACACTGATAGCATCAATTTACATCATTCTAATTTTCAATCAGATGTCTGTGGTTCTTGTTAAAGAGATTGCAAAGAGGTTTTCTATATTTTTTATGTGTATCAGAGACACTGATAGCATCAATTTACATCATTCTAATTTTCAATCAGATGTCTGTGGTTCTTGTTAAAGAGATTGTAAAGAGGTTTTCTAAATTTTTTATGTGTATCAGAGACACTGATAGCATCAATTTATATCATTCTAATGTTCCAATCAGATGTCTGTGGTTCTTGTTAAAGAGATTGTAAAGAGGTTTTCTAAATTTTTTATGTGTATCAGGGACACTGATATGCATCAATTTACAATCAGATGTCTAATTATCAATCAGACGTCGTGGTTCTGTAAAGTG